TTATTTAGAGCCCTGTCTGGATTTAAAAACTCTGTGTTGATGTCTGATGTCTTCTGCACAGACTTGATGGACTGAATAGTTTATTTCTGTGTTGTAACGTTGTACAATTCTGTCATATTAAGGAATAGAATTAATTTCTTCATCAGCCATAAATTCCCTTTACAAAATACAATACAAAATTACATTTATATAGTGCCTATCATGTTGGGAGGACGTCCCAAGATGCTGGAGTTTGAGGTCTTGTGCAAGATATATTAAATTAGAAATACAAAACCAAATCATGAAGTCAAATAAGATGCAAACTCCATAAACTTATTAATTTAATAACAAAACAGTGAAGATTATTGGACTGCTGACATATTTGATTATGTTTGCTTTTTGCAAACATTTACTTTGCTCCTGCCCTCTGGTGGTCACTAAATGAATTATAATTTGTTCAATTTTCTTCAACAAAATCCATTAAAAAGCTCTCTCTCTCTCCTATCTCTACAATAATCTGTTCAAGACCTTCTCTCTCAGAACTACCCTGTTTTCTGGTAAATTATATGTTTTTGTGTTTGAAATGCACTGTGCTCCCTGGTTTGATTGATCTGACTGCTCCTTTCACAGATACAAGCTCAGACGCAGATGCAAATCAAGACCTTCTAAAAAATGATGATTTATGTGTTTAATCTATGCTCGGAAGCCTTGTGGTAATAGAAGCAGCAATATCACAGATCTCAAATGCTATACATCAGTATATAAAAAAAGACTAACTGTTGAGAATGAGGGAAATTCCATAAGATTGATAAACATTGAACTATTATATTGAACATCAACCATTTTGCCTTCTGTCGAGATTGAGAATGAGTTGCTTCCCTTTTATGCTATTTCTACCCTGCCTTGCAAGGGTCCTTCTATATACCAGGCACCAGCCCTGCAGCCGGCTACTGTCTCTGCTAATGCTGTGCTCTGCTGTGACGATCTCCACTGGTGAGCTATTGTTGTGCAGTTACCTCTTGTGTGCTTTCTGAGGGCTGGTGTTTTTAGATGGATTCCCAAGCAGGCCAGTCTCAAGCACCCACCCCTCTAACCCAAAGGAGCTGCTTTAAGTCACATTTGAGCTCTTCCCTTTACAATACATCATTGGAGTGTCAAAGGAAAGAAAAACTATGGCTATGTTAAATATAAGATTTTTTCATAATAGGTAAATTATACATTTTAAGCCCCCTTTTCCCCATAACGTCTTCCTACTCTGCAATCCAAAAGGCACTTACTTTTGCTCTAGATCAGTGATACTCAACCATCTTACTGGTGGCGGTGTTGTGACTTTTCGTAATCTGTATCACGGCGGGTAGGGAGAGACGAAGAGAGAGAGGGCTGGGGCGGGGGAAGGGGAGACTGTGGCCAAACAAAATCTCTGGTGATGGTCACTGAGAGATGCTAACAACAACAACTTGCATTTATATAGCGCTCCTCATGTGACTTGAGGATGGAGAAGAAGGGGTCGAGGAAATGGGATAGAGGAAGAGTGTTCCAGAGTTTCAGGCTGTAGTGGTGTGACCACCGATGGTGGAACGGAGGGCACGAGGAACATGCAGAAGGCTGGACCCAGTCGAGCAGAGGCAGCGGTTGGGGATAAGCAGGTCAGAGAGGTAGAAAGGTGACAGGGTATGAAGGGATTTGAAAACAAGAGTGAGGCGATAAGGAGACAGTGAAGCCTGGCTAGAACTTGTTTGATAGGGGTACGGAGTTTAGTGTGGGTGAGTGTACGGGCGGCGGAGTTTTGGATTAGTTGGATCTTGTGTACGATGGAACTGGGGAGCTCGGCAAAGAGGGCATTTGAGAAATCAAATCGGGAGGTGACTAACGCATGGCCGAGTGTTTCAGATGCGTTTGGGGTAAGGTACTCTCGGAGGCGGGCAATGTGGAGTAGGTGGAGGAAGGCAGTCCTGGTCAGGGACCGGATATGGGGGAGGAAGGACAGCTGTCGGTCAAACCTCACACCTAAGTTGTGCACTGGTTCAGTGAATTTGAGGGTTAGGCCGAGGAGGTTGAGGAGATCAAAGCCACAGGACAGAAGAAATTGATAGGAACCAAGGAATATGGCTTCCGTTTTGCCAAACATTTAATTATACAAATTCATAATTTGCGCTCATCCGGACCCTGATGTCGACAGAGCATCAGCAGACTTGGAGTCACAGCTGGAGGAGGGTGTCCTCTGAGTAAGGGTTTGTTGGTGTGTGACTGTTGGCTGGCTGGACTGTTAAAGGGTGGTTGTCAAAAAGAAGCCGTGGTTGCTGAATGGAGGTGGTCACTTGAATAGATTTGACTTATTCATGCACCAATTTGATACATATCCCGTTATTTAAAAAAAAACCTGAAACAAAAAATAACAATCAGATTAAAATCTTGAGAGTTTCATGTTGCTCTAGATGTTCCTGAGGAGCTGGAAAATATCCACCTCTTCACTTAATCAGCCACACTCACATATGAGCCTCAACACTGTATATTGAGCACTTTGGGACATCCTCTTGACGTGAAAGGCACTGTACAAAAAAAATTGTTGTTGTATAACAGGCCAGTCCAGACACAATCCTATATTTATCTGAGGTTCACATGTTCAGGCAATGTTCTTTGTATAGGTATCATGAACTCTATCTAATGTTCTACTTCCTAAACCAGAGACCACTGAGGCCAACTGTAGTCCTGCTTGAGCTCAGCTAAATTCAAACCTGTAACTTTATGTGGTCCAGAGTTGCACTTAGCAACTGGTGATCTGTTTGGATTGGTGTTAAAGGTGCTTCAGCAACTGGCTATCTGTGAACTTCTGCTTACCTTTTTAGTCACTGCTTAACCTCGCCATTCCACACATATTCAGAAGCTACTCAAGCTTTGTATTGAATTACTTGCAGTGTATTTTCTGGCCATGGAACAGTTATAAAGGATTATAACCCATTACTTCATCCCCTTAACTCCTCAATCCCTCTCCCCACTGCCACCCAATCCACCTCCATCTCATATCAACCCTGGAAAAATCTCCCCCATGACTCCCTCTCTGCTGCCATGGAGTCATCTGAACTCCTCCCCCTCTGGGCTTCCTCCCACAATGACCTATTCTCCTCGGTCACTCTTCTCCACAACACTCGATGCCCTTGCTCCCCTCACTTCCCAAACCTCCTCCTACTCATGGAAGTCACCCTGGTACATCAGCCATCTTCGCTCCCTCAAGGCACAGGTGTGTGCCGTTGAATGCACCTGGCCCAAATCTAATTTAACAGTCCATCACTGAACCTGATCAAAATTTACGACTCCACCCTCGCCTCCACTAAATTCTCATTCTACTCCAAGATAATCTCGGAAGCTAAGGACAACCCCAGGCTCATCTTCTCCATTACCAATTGGCTCCTCCGCCCACCATCTCAACCCTTTCCCATCTCCTCCTCCAATGCCAACTGCAAGAAGATGCTGGACATCCTTGAAATCAAAATTGAGGGCATCCGCTCAGCTGCCTCTGCCCTTCCAACTACTACCCCCTCCCCATCTCCTCCTAATACCCCAGCCCCACCCATCCCTCCCTTCACACCTTCGAACCTGTTTCCCCCTCCTCTTTCACCACCACTATAAACCATATGAAACTGACCACCTGCTCCCACAACCCCATCCTTACCTCCCAACTCCACCTCCTTTGCCCTCTACTCAGACATCATAAACCTCTCCCTGTCCACTGGCACCATTCCCACCCCATTAAAAATGTCCATCAACACTTGTATCCTTAAACAACTCTCCCCAGACCCATTCCTGCTCTCAAATTATCGCCCCATCTCCAACCTCCCTTTCCTTGCCAAGGTCCTGGAATGAGTCGTTGCTTCCAAGCTTCCCTCATTCCTCTCTTGCCATTCCCCTCACAAACCCCTCCAATCGGGTTTCCGTGTCGCCCACAAAGTGGTCATAGTGACAAATGATATTTTGTCCATCTGCGACCAGGGCTCCCTCTGCCTCCTCATCCACCTTGACCACTCTGCTGCCTTCGATACCATTGACCACGCATCCACCATCTCTCCTCTCACCTCAACCTTCATGGTTCCATTCTGGAATGGTTAAGATCATACCTCTCACACCATCTCCACAAACTGTTTCTCTGCTATTCCCCATACCATCTCATGCAGCATTCCTCAGGGCTCTGTCCTTGGTCGCCTCCTCTTCAATATCTATATGCTCCCTCTTAGTGACATAATCTGCAGACATGGGGTCAACTTCTACAAGTATGCTGATGACACCCAACTCTATCTCTGCGTTCACCCTCGACTCCAGGTCCCTTCACTTAGTGGGCGCCAGCCTGCTTCACGCCCTGCCTCACCTGCCCCACCGTTGACGGATGTGCCTTCAGTCATTTTGTCCCCACCCTCTGGAATTCCGTCCCAAAGTCCCTCCGCTTCGCCCCCTCCCTTGCCTCCTTCAAGAGCCGTCTCAAGACCCTGCTCTTTGACCGTGCCTTTGATCAACCTCCTTTCCCCCCTGCTCGATCCCGACTCCCAGCTCAGGTCTGAAACAGATTGCCCAGTGAACTTGGGACATCCTCAAGACGTGAAAGGCGGTATACAAATTTTGTTGTTCTTGTTGTATTTCAGAGTGCCCAGGAAAACAGCGTGAGATAGGGCAGCCTGATGGTGTAGTGGATATTTCTGCAGCTTATGAACTAGGCATTCACTAATTCAAATCCTGATCTGTGCTGATTTTGCTGGAGAGATTAAATTTGCCCTGGGTAAGAAGTTAAAAACATTCAAGGATCCCACATCTGGTCTGTCTGCAAGCACCCTCTGCATGCACATGGACAACAGTCAAATAGGTTGGGTACCAAACACATCTCTTATTTATTTTTATAAATGCAAATTATTGTTGGTGTACTATTCAGGCTTGGGGTTTGTCCAAACCCATTTCTACAAACCTCTGTCAGATCAAAGTAAGAAAGAGGGCAGAAATACTACACTGCCAGTTTCATCATTACATAAAGCTACACTTTAGCCTTCCTCAGCCCTTGATTTGTTTGTCTTATTTCCATTGAACGCTGATATTCCTTGTTGCTTCAGTTTTCTCTCCCTGTGCCATATAGTTCTTTGTTGCTCGTATGTAGAATCCTGAAAAGTCAGGTTCACCTGCCTATCAAAGGCAGGGTTTCCTTCCTCCAGTGCATTGATGGCTTGTATGACCAAAGGGGTCATTTTGTGAGGAAGCGGGTTATTGAGAATTCTCACTGGAATCACAGTGTTATATTTATGCTGCTTGTTCAAGGAGTTCATCAGTGTGATGTATGATTGGAATTTACACCAGGCTTCACTCAAAAAGTCTTCTGTCAGGAGAAGGATAGTCCAGGCTGAGCCTGGACTCTCCAGTAGGTTTAAAAGTCTGAGGGCTTCGTCTGTGTCATTCTGTGCATGCAGGATCACAAACTTATAGAACGTATCTTCATTGTCTGCATCATCCGTATTCTGCTCCTCATCATCACTGCCATTAGCTTTACTGTCCCCGCTTTCTCCAGCCACCTGTTCAGATCCATTACTTGATTTTGATTCAGTTTGGCATTCATGACCATCTGTCTCCGCTATGCAGAGCGGGTCCACATCATGGAGCGCGGCGGCCTCAGGTTTTGATGTCCAGCCCCCCATTGTAGGAAATTAAAAACATTTACAATATACAGTCAAACCTGTCTTCCACAACCACTCAGGGAACTGGGACAAAGTAGCTTTTAAATAAGGGTGGCCTCTGAGTAAGGATTTGAATTTGATCCACCAGGGAATGTGGAGCAGTGGATCTGAGCAAGGATAGGTATGTGGACTGTGCTGGCTGGACTGTTCAAGGCTTGTTGTTAATAGAAGGCCGTGGTTGGCTAAATGGAGGTGGTTGCTTGAACAGGTTTGACTTTATTTATCCACCAATTTGATATATAACCTTTTATTCCTAAACAAAAATAAACCCTGAAATAAGAAATAACAATCAGCATTAAAATTACATACCTTGAGTTTCATTTTTGCAGCAATAATTGCACATCTGTGACATAATCCCTCCAGCTCCAATCCACACTCATTTCATCTCCAGATGATAATATATGAGCTGGATGAATAGTAACTGAGTAATGTTTGAGGGTATATAAAATCACGATTTATAGAAAAACTGATGGCACCCAGAACAGACCTGTGAAGGCATTTGACTATTTTATCCTGCTATTGCAGTACAATTCCATGGGATAGGCAACTTCTGGTATCTCACCTAAGTGGGCGTTATTCACCTGTGAGCACTAACAGTGAGGGTCCACAACAACAACTTGCATTTATATAGCACCCCTCACACAGGGTATTGTCCCAGACCACTTGACTGTGGCGGAGCAGAACACCGACCAGGGAGTGGGGGAAGGTGACCACAGGCTCGGTTGAAGGGGAAGATCTTCAGGCGCAACCTGAAAATGGGGAAGGAGGGTGAAAGGCAGAAGGATAGAGGTATAGTTTTACAGAGTTTTGGGGTAATAGTGGCTTAAAGCGAGGACGTGCAGGAGGCTGGAGCCAGTCGAACAGAAGTGGCAGCAGGTTGGGGAGTAGGCAGATCGGAGAGGTAAGGAGGTGCCAGGGCATGAAGAGGTTTAAAGAGGAGTATGACGATCTTGAAATCGATCCATTCAGTGATATGGAGCTAGTGGAGTCTGGCTAGAACTCATATGATGGGGTTACGGAGTTTAGTGTGGGTGAGTCTGCAGGCGGCGGAGTTTGGGGGGAATACTGAAACATTACACTTGAAACTAATCTTTTCCTCACCCAAGGCTCACACAGATACCTAGAGAGATGTCCTCTTGACGTGAAAGGCACTATACAAATGTAATTTGTTGTTTGTGACAATTTCAAGCTTTAATTATTGAATTAATATGCTAGGTGGACTCCCAGGAAATCCCTACAATGTGATCGAATTTCAGGGTGTGTTTCCACAAGTCAGAATATTGTACTTCCAGTTACTGGAATTTCATAATTAGTAAATCTTGTTTGAAATTGCAAAGTCACTGTGTGCAGATCAGCTGCCGCATTCACCTACAAATGTACAGCCACTACACCTTACAGTAAAATCCTGCAAAGCACTTTGAGATGTCTCAATAATGTGATAGGGAACTATTAAATGCAGCGATTATCATTATTATATCAGAATTTGGACCTCACTATAATAACATTCATGCAAGTGAAGAACAATAAAAGCAAAAAGACAATTTACATTTATGGGAGGATATTTCAAAGTGTTTTACAACAATGACTGGTATCCTGAGCGGAGCGTGGAGGGGTGGGAAAGGTAGCTGAAGTGTGATCAGAGATAAGTCCTAAGGTGGGTTTTGAAAGCACAAGAGGAAAACTCTGGGATGGAGATTCAGAGAGAGTGGGCAGAACGGTTGGAGAATTTAAATCAGTTTTGCTGAGTGGAGTGAGCAGCTGGACAGTAGGGTTGCAGGAGGTTGTAGGGGTAGGGTAGCACATGGAGATCATGAAGATACTTGAATTTGATCCACCAGGGAATGTGGAGATCTGAGCGAGGATAGGGTTGATGGGCTTGCGTAGATCTGGCGTTCCTACACTGAGCTCAGCAAGCCGATAACACCCATCCTCACCCGGCTTCACTAACTAACTTCCCATCCCCCAGTGGATAGAGTTTAAAATACTTGTCCTCACTTTTAAAGTCCTCCATGGTCTTGCTCCTTCTTACCTCTGTAACCTTCTAAAACCCTACCAACCTGTCCACTCCCTCCACTCGGTGGGCACTGACCTGCTCCATGTTCCCCACCCGGCTCACTCCAATATCGGAGTTGTATCAAACGTGAAGATTCTTATTTTCAAAATGCACTGCTGTCATTTCTGAGTAATAGGGAATTATAACTTCTTTAGAGAAGGAAATTGTAACCAAAATCACAACATAATTCACAGCCTGAGTACATGATTAGTTTTGGTTACAGCTTTGTAAGAATGTGGCAATGAGGAAGTGAAGGCAACCTCAAACTCTGACATTGGAGGCGAAGCTGATCTATGTGATCTATGACAGAGAGCAATGAGGCCGATCCCAGTGGTTAACTACTTTAACATATGGAATATCAAGAGAGGTGTATTTTTTGGGAGTGTTGATATGGTAAGAAATACTATTTGAAAATGGGATAAGCCAGATATTCTGTAATTATCTGTTCCAGCCCTGCATGTTCTAGTGAATCAGACAGCATAGCTTAAATTATCATTATATAGAACTAGTTGGCATTGTTCTGACCTCAAAGAAAGTGATCAGAGAAACAATTTAACAATTTCCTACCTTTTTTTCTGCATTTAGCATTAGAATCTTTAACTGATTCAAACAGAACCAATTTGTAAGTAAGCCAGAGGCTGGAAGTGCTGGAATTTGACTTAGTTATTTTGTAGCATGGAGTTCCCAGCAACCCAGAAATAATCACAGATCCAGGAACACTCAAACTCCCTGCTAATTTAGTTTTACCATTTAGTGACCATTTTCTCTTATTCTTTCTCCGCCAGTGCATTTCCAAAAGCCTTTCTGCAATCTATTTGGTCAATCCCCTAACCTGGCCACAGCCACTTAAAGTTACTTACAGTTCCCTTCACAATTAGTTATGTTCCCCATTTTGTAGTATCTGTAAATTTTGGTATTGTGCCTGCTATAGCCAAGTCAAGATTACATACATCTACTGGGAGTGACATGGGCATATTTGTTTTGGGGTATCTCCGGTTGTTCATAAATTATTTTCAGTTTTGCCTTTTTCATTGCAGTTACACTTGGTGGCTGCTGAGTCAACATGGCGCTGTGGCCTCGTGCGTCACAGAGCACCTACGTATGCACACACTGCAGTTACACATGGTGGCCGCATGCTGCATCACAGCGTACGCACGTAGCCAAGCGGCGGCGAGAACAAAATAACAAACACAAAGCTAAGCTCAGCAACAACAACAATATTACATTTTTAAACCGCTGATTCCTCCCACAGGAGCCCTCCCACAGGAGTCTAGATAAAGATGAATTGTCTGACTACACTTCATATTGGATACTTTGGTTGCAAGTGAAGCTGCAACGGGTACAGCTAGTAATATATATATAGATACATAAAATAGAGAGGGAGAAAAACAATATCATCAATTCTCTCTATATATACACATACACACATCTTGCTGTACTTTAGCCAACTTTATTTTCAACAAACCTCCTATGCAACAGCACCTTTTGAAAATCCCTAAACACAAAATCTACATTCCCTTTATCAGTACACTCAATGATGTCCTCAAAAAACAATACTTGCATTTGATATATTGCTGTATCATCATCAAAATGTCTCTAAGTGCTTCACACATTTTTACTGTGAAGTGTAATGACTGTATCTGTAGGTGAACGCAGCAGGCAACTTGTGCACAACAATGTCTCACAAACAGCCATGAAGTGAAAGAGTAATTTTATCTGGGGAGTTGTTGGCCAGAACACTGAGAGAAACTCTCCTTTCAAATAGTATCATGTGGTCTTTAACATCCACTTGAACATGTTATTGAATTTATCTGGCATAACTTGCCTTTTGAAAACCGTGCTGGTTGGCTTTAATTAATCCACGACTCTTTAAGTGATTATTAATTTAATCCCGTATTTCTGGCTTCTCAAAGTTTTCCTGCCACAGATGTTAGGGTGACTGATCCAAACTGTAATAACTGGGCTAAGCCTTTCTCCTTTATTGAACAGCGGTTTTACTTTATATCCGAGGATGTTTGAAAGCTTGTTGTTGGGCTTCTCCTCTTTCCTCACTGTCTTACCCTTATCATTCTAGACTGCATGCCATCAGGGCTTGGAGTTTCTGCTTCGACTTGGCACTTTTTTTAGTATCACTGCTTTTTCTTTTGTTAACTCTTCTAATCACTCTAAACTTCCTCCTCTGGCACACTTGCATTGTCACACTCTTCTGCAAAAAACTAAACAAAATACATTTCCTTCTCTTACCATAGATTTGAATGTTTATGCACCACTTTTCGGCTTCATATCACACTCTCACCAATATAATATAATAATAATTGTTGTACTTGACATAGCACCTTCTCACATCTTCGAGATGCCTCAAAGCACTACACAGAACATACTATAAAGTGAATTAACTATGCATTTTGTGGGTGAAACGTGGCAGCCAATTGTGCACAGCTGTGTCCCACAAACAGTCGTGGATTGAAGTGACCAATTTATTATTATTATTGTTATTTTTTTGAAGAAATTATTACTCCCGGAAAAAATTGTTCCTCCCACAGTCCCAACAATATCTGACTTGTCAGGAGGCATTGGCCCACTGATGCAGTACAATACTTAATACAGTGGGTGGATACTTAGTACTAATTAGTGACTCATTAATTAACTGTCAATATAAATTTATAACAAAACTGTACCACCCTTTCCACTGATTTAATTTGTCACCAATGGAACACACACTAGGTGTAGTATCAATCTAGAATTCTATCTAATTTTCTTAGACTTTTGTGCTAAGGAGATTCAGATTATGAGTCCAAGTTTCAATGTTGTTTTGAACCATACCTTTCTGATCCAAAGACAAAAGTCACTCAACTGAACTAAGTTGGCACTTGCCTCATATGTAAACATAATACTTAGATGATCTTTCTTCCATCTTTTTCAACTTGAGACTCAGCTTGCCGGAGGATTATTGCGTTTGATGTGATTTTTTTCGAAGGTAACATTTCTGATGAGACGTACAACATTGCTGCGCACAAATTAGTTGCTGTGTCATATTTATAGAATACAGCCATATACTGTACAGCATATGCTGTGAAATGCTTTGAGACTGCCTCCCGACGTGAAACGTGCTGTATCAAATGCAAGGTTTATTATTATTATTAAACCAAGTTTTGAAGATCTCATGGCACTATTTGAAAAGAGAAGGGAGTTTTTCTCAGAGTCTGTAGTTATCGTACATTGTCTATTTCCCATTCAAAGAATGTGGGAGAGCAATAGAGGTGCTCAGGAGTCCAAGAATTGCATTTCCTAGTAGTATTTGCACAACACATTTGATGTCCTGCAATCAGTCAGAGACCACAGTGTGGCTCATGTGGGAGACTGGAAGATCTGATACTGGTGTGTTTTCAGCTTTTGCCTGAAATGCATTGTTAGAGTAGAGAGCAGGAAGCTCAACAGAATTTTTTAAAAAAACGTGACTTTCTGGATTCTGACATCACATACTGGATATCACACACGATAACCCAACAACAGCAACTTGCACTTATATAGCACCCTCCAAAGAGTTGTGTCACAGAGAGCTTAACAGTGGTGGAGCCTGACCCCAAGTCGGGGGGAGGGGGCCGTAAGCACGGTCAAAGAGGAAAGTTTTCAGGCGGGACTTGAAAGAGGGGAGAGAGGGGGCAAGGCGGAGGAATTGAGGGAGTGTTCCAGAGTTTTTGGGTGTAGTGACTGAAAGCACGACCTCCGATGGTGGGACGGTGAATGCTAGGGACGAGCAGGAGGCCGGTGCCAGTCGAGTGGAGATGGTGTTTTAGGGAGTGAGGAGGTCGGAGAGGTAGGGAGGTGCCAGGGAGTGAACGGATTTGAAGCCACAAGGTACACATCTTGATTTAAAAAAATTAAAACGTCACACCTGCCCCGAAAAATTATATCCTCTAAATGTAGTGATATACTACTAATTTACCATCTACAAGCACAGTTTGGAATTATCAGTTTGATAATTAAAATTGTTTGAACTGGTGGACTGTTAACATAGTATGAAATGTACCAATGGGGTCTGTTCAGCTGAGAAGGACAGTGATATTTACCTGCAATTGAAGGCCATAACTCTGTTTGTCCAGCGCCTTGGGTCGTCCTCCCGACATGAAAGGCACGATACAAATGTAATTTTGTTGTTGTTGTTGGATCTGCTTCTGGATCTGATGTGTAGGCTGATCCTGATATTAGTCCAAATTCCTTTTGTAAATGGAGGATTCTGCTGGTATTTTTCTCAGTTGTGAACTTGATTCTTAAAAGAGGGAAGTGAGTTGGGCACGGGCTGCTCAGTGTGCAAAATTGGGAAATTGCTAAGCCAATTATAACATTAACAAAATAGAAACTAACAACCAGCCGCCAATTTTTAAATTCGACCAGGGTACTATTGGAATGCAAATAATGTAACACAAAAAGCAAGATATTTGAATAATTAGAATAATACTTACTATGGTAATTTCTCAGTGGATGTACAAGTATGGAGTGGATGTAATTGTAACCACCACAATGCATTTCACACATATAGAGTGATGGGCCATACCATATAGCACTTTTAGTCATTGATTAATAAATGTTTCTACTGTATTTGATATCCATGCTATACAGAGATGCATTTTAAGTAGAGCATATTTAATCAAAACTATATTAACAGTATATTTTGTTTGTTGATGTTGGCGATACCTGATGGTACTTTCATCTTTTATTGAGATTATATACATAAAAAATATAAAACATTCAAAGAAAAATCTGTTAATGATCACTAATGAACTGACCATAATTTTTTGTCCTGGGATGAAAATGAGCCTTCAGGAAAGCCAAGAAGTTTTACAATTCTTTTTACAAACAAGTTGACAGCAGATACAAATACCAAAAGGCAGCACATTGAAGGCAATACAAATTAATTCACTGGCCTGAGGGAAAGTTAGCATTTTCTAAATAATTATTAAAAAAAAGTATAACATTTTTATTTCATCATACTTGGTGAATGTTTAAAAGATTTGTAAAAAATCCTTTGCCATCCATTTGGGTTATACAAATGTAATCTTGGTGGTGTTGTTTGTAGGTGAGGACCAGGATCTTGAACTGGATCCACTGAAGGATAGGGAGCCAATGGAGTCGGGCGAGAATGAGGGAGATGGGGTCACAGAGTTTGGTGCGGAAGAGAACATGGGCTGCAGAATTCTGAATTATCTGCAGCCTATGGAGGGAGGAGTTGGGAAGGCCGACAGGCAGGGTGTTTGCATAATCGGGTCAGGCGATGTTACGGAGGTGAGGGAAGTCAGAGCAGGTCATGGCTTGGATGTGGGGGAGAAAGGACAGTTGAGGGTCAAACGAGACACCTAGGTTCCTGACTGGCTTGGTGAGTTGAAGTGTGCAACCATGGAGGTTGATATTGCCAGAGCCTGAGGTGCAGAGGTGCTGGCGCGAGCCAATCCGTTCAATTCAAGCCTCTATCCTTCACATTTCCGTCTACTTCCCATTTGAAACCAACAATTAACTCTGCCTCTACCACTTTACTCGATAGGCTATTCCAACAACTGAGTAAAAAAAATCTAAGCTCTTCTTTTGCTCTTGTTGTGACTATCTTATACTTAACTGTACTGTTCTTTCTGCCCCACATCTGCTCCATGTCCCACTCTGCCTTCCCCACCTCCGCAACATCACCAAGCTCCACCACTGTCTCACACCACAGGTCGCCGAAACTCTCATTCATGCTTTCATTACACTGAGGCTTGACTATGCAAACTCATTGCTTGTCGGCCTCCCCAATTCCTCCCTCCACAGGCTGCAGATCATCCAGAACTCTGCAGCCCGTGTCCTCTCCCACACCAAATTCCGTGACCCCATCTCCCCCAACTCCATTGGCTCCCTATCCTTCAGAGGATCCAGTTCAAGATCCTGGTCCTCACTTACATACACCAAAACAACAACAACCAAGCCCTAAGCAGCCTACTTCTAATCTTTGGCTTGCATTTCTTGATTGAATTACAGGAGGAGTGCAAATGCCAGGTCTGGATGACATAACGCCTGATTTTCTCTCTTTAAAAGAAGCATTTGGACACTACCTGTAAACCCTGGGCAACTACAAAATGCACAAAATCTGTATATCCTACAATATAATTATTTCTTTATAGGCAGCATTGCTAGTACAATTGTATTAAAAGTGTTGATACTTATGTTAAAAGGAACCACAACATACAATAAAAGCAGCATATGGATCAATGTAATATACAGTATTTGAACTCGAGTCCAAGAAGCCAACCACAACAATGTTGAGAATTTAATATAAAGTCTAAATACTGTAGTTTGTGTAAACCAGATTATTAAAGCAACATTAAAATTAGTGTGACAGATGATAACCTCATGAACAACCTGGTTTTGAAATCACCCAATTTATAAATTTTGTGCAAATCTGCATCATTCAGCCTCAATTAAAATGTATGAAGTAGGTTGTCATCTAGAATTAACAATTCTACCCAAAAGGGTAACAATCGCAAATACCAAAGTAGCAAGACAGAAATTATATTTTCTAAAGAAAATGCCCAGAAGAAAAATCAACCCTTTCCCTAAACATACAATTTTAAAAAAAGACAATTCTTACTTTCATATACACATTTATTTAAATGTTTTATTATAAACCCAATCACAAAATGGTGTTCCTACATTTATTTAAGACTTCAAAATTCAAGACAGGCACACAACTTTTATCATTTTTTTTTATTGTCCAATTTCCACAGGGTCTGCATCAATTCTTACATCTGATAATCTTTACCAAATCAGATTCACATTTTGATGCCTAAAATTGAGGGTCTGATTTGGAGGAACTGTAAATGAATAGTGAGTAGGACCCACATGCACGGTGATCAAAGCTACAAAACACAATATAAACAATGTTTAGCAACACAATGCCTTGCAGTTCAATAGATTTATGCTCTTTTTTAAAAAATCAAATCCTGCCTTTCACTCATACAAAATAAAGTTAAGCACCCATTGCTTAGAAATTTACAGTGCATTAACATGTTCAAATAAAATCAGAAAATGAAAGTTATAACTATTCTCATCCCGAGGACATTTTAAACAATGACTGTAATATTCTGTTAGAAGTACTTATCTTTGGCAGAAGATACACTGCCATAATCCATTTAATAGTTCTGAAGACACTCACTCTGCCCAACTTATGCCATACGACAGATCTCCAAAGGCAAACAAACTATTCAAACTGCCATGGGTACACAAATGTAAGTGCAAGGCCAAACCTTTATGGTTGTTTCCAAGTTTGATCACATTAAGGAATAGGGAAGAGGAAAAAAAATGAAGCCAATAGCTGGGTCATTTCATCAGTTTACACAGTCTTTAGTACATTTCTACAAGAAAACAAGAGTTCAAAGACAAGTTAGTATTCTCCAATTCAATGAGAATTTATCAATGATAGAAGTATAGCAAAATGTTACGTTTGTGAAAAAACATTAATACATTTGTTAATGTTTAACAGTCAATATATAAAGCATCGTTTTGAGGTTTTTAATTTTACCTGTAGCACAACTTCTCATAAAGATTTGACCTTAAATAAAATCATTAACATTTTATCAGTTCACATTGTGTGAAATATGCCATGGACTGTTCACTTTTATCCTCTTATCCTAAATAAATTTACACCGTGGCATATATAGTAATAACCCCGAATCCCCCCTTCCTTTTAATCCTTAATGGTTGATTTACTCAACATTTGGCGGTTGAGAAGTACATAAACACAAGCTTTCAGAAAACTGAAGTGAAGACCAGGAAGTGTCTTGCCTTCAGAACCACATATTTCCAACTACAACCTTAAAACCTTAAGCATAGCTATGCCACTGTAGACAAAGCTGCACAATAAAACCCAGACAATTTAAAGAGCTTAAAAATAGATGAAGCATTTCCATAATGTAACAATTGTTGGTTGGAACTATATTTTGAAATACTGATCCAAAGCTATTAGACAAACTTTGTGCACATCCAGTGAAAAGGTACAAAATGGTTGTAATGTGAAGAGTTTTATGCCCAAGAGTTGCAACATTATTTTTACTGTTACATCACTTTTACTGAACAAAAACAAGATTAGTGAAAAATCGAAACACTTGCTACTTGCTATTTAAGAAAGGTCTGGATTTTAAACACCTGGATGTCCAGTAGATTACAGCTGCATAAGTCAACTAGCAATTTAAATAAATGCCTTGAAACGTCCCCTGAGAATCATATATTCACTAATATGACTGCAAAGGATGAGAGATTGCTTATTGCTGGAATCACAAATACAGCACAAATTAAATAATCAAGACCCAGCAGATCTTATTCAGTAAAATGTAATCAATTACCTAGAAATTTGTGCTGCAGTGAATGCTTAGAGCCTATGATACTGTAATCGGTTGGACATCTAGTTGCAGTGAAATTACAGTATTTCATTCTCAGAATATTTTCTCTGGTAAATAGTCCAAAATGATGAAAAAAATCAGTCAATAAGGATTTTAATCTTAACAGCCTTCCTGCACTTAATCTTCAAAACAGGCGAGTCAGAGCAGAAAAACTGTTAGGTGCTGCTTAGACCTTTTGCATCATGACTACTCTTGTTATGAACCAACACGTGTAGAAGTGGTTCTTTTGTCTGAGAAGAAGCTTCTGAGGAGAACCACCTGGCCAAGGCTCACAACCAACAAGATGAGGGCTTCTCCAATGGACCAAAAGGCAACCCTTGAATTCAGGTCCTCTGCACGACTTCGTCCTTGGGCTTCTCTTAGACGGAAATGGGTCTGATAATCAATGACAGTTTTCATGGCTTCATGCATTGTGACACAAGCTGACTCCATCTGTTTGAAAAAAAAGTGGTAAGATGTCTTGTAAATGCATTTTCTCTTCACTAGTTTTATGACTTTTTAAAACCCTTCTCTCCTGAAGGCATCGACTCCTTTTCTTCTACTTGAGTATTTTGTACAGAGTCCCCTTTCATTCAAGTGACCAATATTCATGTGTGAGCCTTGACTAAGTATTGGTAGGCTTTTCTACTGTGGGAAAACACAATTCTCTCTTGACCTGATGTCCACATTTGCACATCTATGACTGGACTACTTTGGATAGCAAATCAAAAGTGTGAATCCATTTATTTTTCCGCCTCTGTAACCCAGGGTATTGAATGCTAATTGCAGCACACCAATTAAGACATTAACTCAGGAATCAATCCTGTACCTATCCAGTTAATCTAAGTAATTTACCCACTAGGCGATCAGAGAGGCTAATACATTTTTTGTTCAATACATTTTTTTTGTGTCAACCAGGTATATGACACAAGCAGAAACCTGTCAGCTGCTTTAGAGTATCCAAACCAAGATGAGATTTCCATGCATCCCATCAACACATGGAAATCCCAGAGATAAAATGTTGTAATGGAATGCTCACTCTCTCTTAGGCATCAAAATTTACATTGTAACATAAGCTAACTCCATCTGTTGATAATAATAATCCTTGCATTTGATATAGTGCTTTTCATGAGTTCTAGATGTCTCAAAGCACTTCACAGAATATACTGTAAAGTGAATTGAATATTTGTGGGCGAAACGCAGCAGCCAATTGTGCACAGCAGTGTCCCACAAGCAGTCGTGGATTGAAGTGACCAATTTTATTATTGATTTTTTTCTTGAGAGATTATCATCAGGCATGTGGAGTAAGGAAACTCTCGGCCTGCGAGGAATCAAACCCAGGTCTCTTGTTTGCTTGAAAGTCTGATTTGACCACAGTGTTATTGAATAGCGAGTAGGTCCCACATGCATTGGTTTCACCACTCATGTAGCATAATTTAGTACAAATAAGACATTAGGATTTTCCTAAACCTCTTGTAACCTATTGAAATGTAATTTAAAAAAACTCAAATTTGAAAAGCAAATTTAAAAAAACATTATATGCGAGAACGTATGATACTTCATACCTGAGTCAGTGCTGAGACTCTGTTTTCATTGGGAAACAGAGGAGGGTCTTCGCCAACTTGGAAGTCAAAATAGACAGTCTTGTGCGTGAAGGTGGAAAACTCATTGCTGAAACAGAACTTGTAAGTTCCATTTTTTGATGCTGTGAATGTGAAGCTGTCATACTGCTTCTTCATCTCCTTATACAATACTGTGCCAACAGGATCTTCCAGGCGACAGTCCACATCATAGTGACCACCAGTAATGACCTGTCAAACACATATGGGTTTTACATTTAGATCTCTAAATTCAATTCTTATTATAATTCAACACTTGAATAGAAACATAAGAAATGTAAGCAAATTTTTATTTCTAAAAAGCAAGGACAATGCTGCTGCAACAACAACAACAATTTATATAGTGCCCTTCACCCAGAGTAGTGCCTGAGCACTGAACAATTATGCAGTCTGACGCCAAGCCGAGAAGGGAGGTGAGTGAGTATAGGCATGGTCGAAAAGGGAAGACTTCAGGTGCAATCTGAACCCAGGTAAAGAGGGAGCAAGGCAGAAGGCTTGAAGCAAAGGGTTACAGAGGTTTGGGCGCAGTTCCTGAAGCCGCAACTGCCGATGATGGAGCAGAGCGGTCGGGAGACATGCAGAAGGCCTGAGCTCATAAAGTGAAGGTAGCAGATAGATACAGCTGAAAGTACAGAATACTACAGTACTTCTCCAATGTTTAAGGGTCAAGTTCTTGCTCTCAGCAAACTGAGCTAATATCATTTTTTTAATTAAGTTAAATTGAAACAATTCTCAGCATGTACATCCTTTATAATAGTTAAGAGGGCATTGACAGTACTGGGAAGATTGCTAAAATGTATACAGATTGCTTATTCCTGGTAGTGAAGGTACTTCTTTATATTTCTACAGGATGCAGTTTATGGTTAGAGAGATACAAATAATCAATTAATTTGATATTTTACAGTATTTATATAAGTAAATGACCAATTTCGTCTGGGCAATTGTTGGCAAGAACCCAGGGAGAAATTTCCTTCTGCTGTTGAATTGTGCTATGAGATTTTAAAGTCCACCTGAACAGGCAGGTCCTTAGTTCATTCAAAGATCAGCACTTCTGACAAAGCAGTGCTCTCCAACACTGCATTGCCAACCTAGATTACTAGTCCAAACTTCCAACGTGGGACTTGAAGCCACAATTGTCTGTCTCAGAGGCGAGAGTCCTTCCAAATAAGCTGGGATGGCAGCAGGTATTGTACAGACAGAACGTTGGAGAGAATCAGAGAGGAAGACTCAGTGGAAGAGAGATAAAAAGAGTGAAGAACTAAGAGAGTGAGTCAGAGAGAACCTGGTAGAGAGAGAAGGCTGGCACACTTTTGTACTGAAGTAACAATATAATTCTTGATGAAACTTTTTATTTAGCATTGTAGTCAATTTGTATTTGCGTGCTGTCCAATTACATGCACTGGGCTGTTCATCTGTGAAGAGGCCAGTTCCAAATACCCCAGATTATCATCTGCTGCACTGATAAAAATTCTACAAATACTGCTTAGTTGTAGATGTGTGTAAAGATGCTGTCAGAATAGGTTTGGCAGTATTAAACAATTCCTAATGGCATAGCAGGAACAAGCACAATTTATATAATAATTTCAGTATAGAGGTTAAAGGGATTTCTCCCTCTAACACACAAGCATGAAAAAAGGGACAAAATGCATAATTTAGGCATAGTTTGTAAGGACACAGATACATTGGAATAAAAATAAATCACAGATATCAAAAGCAGAATCAAAAGTGGTAGCAGAGAAGTAGAGTTGGGAATCGATATACATTTGAAAGGTAATGACATGCTTGCACATGATACCATCAAGAAAATAGGAGATGGTGGCTTCTATTAGTTTGTAATTTCATATAATTTCAGTTCATTCTTGTAGTGCCAAGAATTTATACAGAGGTCTTATTCTTTACTCAAATATAACTTGAATAGAATCAATGGAATACTTAATTTTAACATTTAGGAACATAAAGACTTCTAGTTTAACCTTCATTAACTGTGTGGCAATCATTTAGATTCTTCCAGCCTCTTCCCACATTGAATGTTGTACAAAAACAACTAACCAGGACCTTCATCATAATATTGTTAAAAGGGCATATCAGGACATCTTCAGAATCACCACAATCCCTTTAGCCTCTATACTAAAATTATTATATAAATTGTGCAGTATTAGAGTACGCGCCTCGCAAGCGAGAGGACCTGGGTTCGATTCCAGGGCAAGGCAAAACGTTGGGCAAGTTTCTGAACTCCACACGCTTCTATTTATCTAACCGTAAGTGTGAACCTGGTTATTAGTTGATTGGCGGATTGCTTTTCCGGGGTAATAATCTCTTCAAAAAAATAAAAATAATAATTTGGTCACTCACTGTTTGTGGGACACTGCTGTGTGCAATTGGCTGCCGCACTTCACCCACAAAATATAGTTAATTCACTTAGTTTATTATGTGAAGCACTTTGAGGCGTCTCAAAGACATGATAAGGCGCTATAGCAAATGCGAGGATTATTATTATTATTAATAAAGGACTCCAGAGAACAACTCATAATATATACTAGTTATTCCAGATTACCTATTCCACATGGCAGTAAGAAAAAATAGCTTTCTTGATTTTACAATGAGGTAAGAAACAGACAACAATTCAGGGCTCATTAAAACTGGATAGTTGTATAAATTTGTATAAAAATAGTAGACTTTTGGGTATACTTTCAGAGCCATCATGACCTAAAAAATACCATTTCACTCAATTGTTAGGTTTGGGCTGGCAGGATTAACAGGAGCAAATTGGAAAAAACATTCTGTCCCCTTTGCTCAGCTCCAGCATTCTCCCTTGTCTCATCCGTTCTATCATCAGCAGTAGTGCTTTCAGCCACTATGCCTGAAACTGGAATTCTCTGCCTGCCTTGCCCCCTCCTTTCCAGTCTTCAGATCGCACCTCAAGACCTTCCTCTTCTCTCTCCGTGGCTCAGCTTCAAGCTCTGCTACTGTTAAGCTATTGTGTGAAGGGTGTTATATAAATGCAAGCTGTTGTTTTTGTTGGGTCTGTCCCTCAAAGTTTTGTTAATGAGTTGAGAACAAACTCATTAGCAGGACTTTGAGGGACTGGCTAGTCTGTCATTAGCAATGACTTGGAGCACTGCGGACCTGCCTGACCCAGGAACTCATGAGACTGCCGTTCGAAATTGCATTGCTAAGTACATCACCTTGGAGTCAACTGAATCGGAGAGACAACTTAATCTCCACCAAGGGGCCATAATGGTCAAGGCTCGATTTGATTTGTAATCAATGTATTCATACTTCAGGGAAAGAAACAGACTGCTCCTGAAACAACCGCCATCAAGCAGTTTGAGGTGCTCAGCTTGAAACTTGTAAATATAGCCTCAGCATAAGAAATGCCTCTCAACCAGATATAATAATAATAATCCTTGCATTTGATATAACGCTTTTCACGTCTTCTAGACGTCTCAAAGCGCTTCACAGAATATACTGTAAAGTGACGAAGTCAGACACTTTCCCCACATAATGATGTGCAAGAATGGCCTGGCATGACACATTTCCATTCGGGAGAGTGGGGAAAAAAGGAGAGAAATTTAAAGAAAAGAAATACATCAATATTTTTTAAAAACTTGAGGCAAGATACATTATATTATGTTATATTATTATATTATTATATTATATTAAAACCACTCCGTCCATGCTTTTCCCTTAAGACACATGGTAAAAAGATGATATAATTGAACATCTCCAGTTAATTTATCAATAAAACTTGCATTTGGGAGTACTTCTCAAAACGCTTCACAGGATATACTGTAAAGTGTAATGACTGTATTGTGCAAGCGAATGCAGCAGTCAGTTTGCATAGAGCAATACCCCACAAACTGCCATGAAGTGAATGACCAATTTTATTTGGGGGACTGTGACCAGGACACCAGGAGAAACTCCCCTTCTTGAATATTGCCATCAAATCTTTAGTGTCCACCTGAACAGACAGACAGGATCTTGGTTTAATATCTCATCCAAAGGACAGCACCTCCAACAATGCCCTCTCTTCCCCACACACATTCGGCTGTACCCTCTCTCCCCTCCTCAGATCAGCTGTACCCCCTCCCTCCCCACTCACAGATCAGCTGTACCCCCTCCCTCCCCCACTCACAGATCAGCTGTACCCCCTCCCTCCCCACTCACAGATCAGCTGTACCCCCTCCCTCCCCCACTCACAGATCAGCTGTACCCTCTCCCTCCCCCACTCACAGATCAGCTGTACCCTCTCGGCTCACACAGGCTGTATTCTCTCTCGCCCCCTTCCCATCAGCTGTATCCTCTCTCTCTCTCCCCCTCCCAGACAGCCTGTCCTTAAGGCCCTCACCTGGAATTCAAGCGTACACTTGGTGCCCTGCGCAATGTCCTCGTAGAAACACTGCTTGGCGTTGTCGGGCAGCTCGAAGGTGAGCTCAGAGCCGCGGACCAGCGGCAGCAAAAGCTGCGCCCACAGGAGCCGCACCAACACACTCCGCCACATGCCGGCTCTGCTTCACTCTGCGCCGCGGGCAGGGCCTTGTCACAGCGAGCCGGTGGGGCCTGTAATACGGAGCCGGTGGGACCTGCAATGCGCAGCTCGCGGGGCCTACAACGAGGGACTTGACGGGGAGTTGCGCGGCCGTTAAATTCGTTTCAGTTTGAATTTCTCGTTTGACTCGTAAAGCGGCGGCCGCGGCTCGAGACGCTCGCCCCAACCTCCCGGATGTGAAGCGGCGCAGGAACCAGACGTGGCAGCACCGCGTTACCCGGATGTTAACGTTCACCCCTCCCTCGTCCCCACCCCCTCCTCCACGGCGCGCCTGCGCACTCCGTCTGGGAGCTGCCACGTGTCACAGCGAGAGGAAGGTGACAGCTTCTCATTGTCACCGCTCCACTCACTGCGGTCACAGGCGGCGTCACTCCCCAAAACACCCCCACACACACAAACAAGTACTCCTCACCAGGGAAGGCCGATTGAGGCTAAGGTGTGGGGGGGGCGAGTGTTCGGGCTCCAGAGGTTGGGGGCAGAGTGGCTGAAGGCTCTCCCGCCAACGGTGGGGCGGGTGGGTCGGGGGGCGTGGAGCAGCCGGGAGGGAGCGGGCGGGTTGGTAGAGGGTTAGGAGGTCGCAGAGGTAGGGTGGGGCGAGGCCATGGAGGGCTTCGTACGTGAGGACCAGGATCTTGAACTGGATTTATATAGCGCCCTCCGCGCCGGGTGGTGTCTCGGAGCGCTTCACGGTAACGGATCCCGGGGCCAAGCCAGGGAGAGGGGGAGGAAGGTGACCAAAGGTGCGGTCGAAAAGAAAGGTCTTCCAACAGAGACCTGAAAATAGGAAGGGAGGGAGTTCCAGAGCCTCGGGGCAACCTTGAAGGAGGCGAAGAAAGGGCCAAGTCATAGTGGCTACGGCACCGAGTTCCAAGGGTGGGGGCAGATAAACTGAAAGCCCAACTGCCAATGGTGGGGCGAACAGGCCGGGGGTTGTGAAGCAGCCGAGTGGAGGGGAATGAGGTGGATTTGTAAGGTCTAAAGGCAGAAAAGCAGATGAGTCACTTTCACAGAGTGAGACTCTATTTTTTATTGAAACAGATGGACTATGATTTTGCACCAAAGAGTCAGTGCAGGTCCATTAAACTATATCCATTATTCCAATGAATGAATGTGTTTTAGAGCATCCAAATTAAATTAGTGAGTTCCACATATGCATGGAATTTTCCTGTTTTCTGGAATAGTGTTCTGAACCATACAGAGCAGAAAGGCACCAAATTTTGTCCAAGTGCAATGCATACGCAATTGCAATTGGCCTCAGTGTCTTCCTTCAGCCATTTGTGCCCGCTTTTGATTGTTGATTTAAATGAATGACTTTTGCAGTGTATTCTGTGAAGCGCTTTGAGACGTCTCAAAGACGTGATAAGGCGCTTTATCAAATGCAAGGATTATTTTATTATTGATCCTTGCTATGTTTGTCAAATGAAGACATAATAATTAAAATTATGAAACCGGTAGTTGAGTAGCTGACCTGTGCTCATCGTTCAGATAACCTGGACAGTTCAATCAGGATATGTGGTCAGAGATGCTAAGTGGGTCAAATCATACTTACCAACTCTATGGGTTTTCCCCGTAGACTTAGGACCATAGGTACAGGAGTAAGCAATAGAGCCCTTGAGCCTGTTCCACCATTCTATTTGATCATGGCTGATCTGTACCTCAATTCTAATTATCCACCTTACCGCCATATCCCTTGATACCCTGACCTAACAAACATCTACCCACCTCAATCTTGAAAATTTGAATGGATCCAGCATCCACAGTCTTGGGGAGAGAGTTCCAGATTTCCACTATCCTTTGTGTGAAAAAATGCTTCCTGATTTCACTCCTAAATGACTTCACTCTAATTGTATGATTATTTTACGACTATGTATTTTTAAGTCCATCTACGGGGACAGCTCACTGACAGAAACTTCAATCCAAGACTGTTTGTGGAACATTGTCCAATTGACTGCTGCGTTTCGCCAATAAAATATTCTGTGAAGCGCATTGAAACGTCTCAATGACGTGATAAGGCACTATATCAAATGCAAGGATTGTTATTGATTATTATTATATTGGGAGTTGGACCAAGATGAAACATACCAATGACTGATCTGTGTTACACATGATTATCTGATGACAAAATTTAAATTAAAAAGTTATGCTGCTAAATATCTAGTGCTTTTTAACAAATCTATGGCTTTTTTGTTGAACATCTACTGTTTTTTTTGTAAAGTTGGCAGGTATGCCCGCCAGGATCCTACCCTGTGTGAAGGGTGCTATATAAATGCAAGTTGTTGTTATTGTATGGTGAAATGAGCTTAAAATCTGATTTACTGATTAGCAACTTCCCTTTTAACGGTTCCTGATTCTGAGAACCCTGAAAGAGAAACAGAACGTTCCTTTCAATAGGAGTGATAATCATTCATTTAAATTTGAGGATATGATCCAATTTGAAGTATGTCACCTTTGCTGATAACACATCCTTATATGCTTAACATGTGTAGAAGCTGTTTGACATTATAAGTGACACTCAGATGTCCCAGATCAGTTTTCTGTTTGATGTTTGAAACAATTGTAACTTGTAAATTGGTCTGTTTTAAGAGAAAAAAATATTGCTTTTTACCTCAGTGGATTATTGGCTTCAATTGTGCCATCTAAACCTTGGGATGTTGCTATTGTCTGGAAAGAACATTGCCCATCGAGGTGGTTTATGTGGAGTTTATTGTGGAGTCCTGTAGCTCAGTGGTTAGAACACTCGCTTTGCAAGTGAGAGACCTGAGTTCAATTCCAGGCAGAGGGCGAAACCTTGGGCAAGTTTCCTTACTCCACACAGAGCCTAATAATAATCCCTCCAAAAAAACAAAAACAATAATTAAATTGGTCATTTTCAATCTACGACTGTTTGTGGGACATTGCTGTGCGCAATTGGCTGCCGCGTTCGCCCACAAATATACAGTCAATTCACTTTACAGTGTGTTCTGTGAAGCGCTTTGGGACGTCCTCCCAACGTGAAAAGCGCTATATCAAATGCAAAGATTATTATTATTATTATGTGGAATTTAAACAGGAGTTTCTCCTGGTGCTCTGGACAACAATGCCACAGTTCACATTAGATATGTGAAAAATAGACTGTCACATTTATCTGCAAAATACACACACGCTACACTTTACAATAAGTTCTGTGAAGCACTTTGGTACATCCTCCTGCCATGAAAGGTGCTGTGTCAAATGAAAGGAATAATAACCAGCCTCTTGCTTGTCCCTTGCACCCTCCGCTCTAACATTGGAGGTTGCGCATTCAGTCGCTCTAAAACACTCCCTCAATCCCTCTGTCTTGTCCCCTCTCTCCTCTTTCTCAAATCCTGCCTTAAAACTGTCCTTTTCACCTCCTCCCCCGTGTCGGCGTCAGGCTCTGGCAATGTTAAGGTCTCTGAGACGCTACTCTGCATGGAGGGCACTATGTAAGTGCAAGGTGTTGTAATATTGTTATTTAGAATTAAATCCCATAAATTATTTAGAGGCAGGAATATTTCTGCCTTATCCAAATTCACAAAAACATTTTAAATTTAGTCATGCATCCTATAACCTTTTCACCTTCTCTTTTGTTTCAGATAGTCACGGGTTGATGAGTATTCACTGCAAACATGGTTTGTGGGACAATACTAGGCAAAAAACAGCCACGCATATGACAGTAATTCTGAGTCTCTGAGATGCTTGTTTCCATGTGCTGCGTTTGAACCACAGGAATTGCTAGGTTGACCTCTTTATCACATATAATATTCCACAGATGCTCTATCACCCTATCATCACCCACAAAACACATAGATACTCCACTATGCAGTATATCCTATGAAGCTCTTTGAGATATCCACCTGATGTGAAAATGTCCTATACCAATTGCAATATTATTATCTATTGTTATCACTATTGGTAGTATTTGACTTGTACATAAAACTATATGACTCAAACTCAATGAATTCACCTAAAATAGAACGAAATCCGGTGGGTTTGAAATCTGGGAAATACACCAGGAAATATTTGTGTTTGATTCAAACGTGGAGAATTGTAAAATTAAGAATCACGCAGAATGATTCCTATAAATATGGTCCTGGAGAAATGCAAAAGCCAACCTAGTAGTCTGGCACCTTTAAAGTGACCCTTTACCGACTTTGTCTTTATTTCTGTTCGATTCTTGGCACGTTCCCATCATTTAGTCCCACCCAGATAAATTTGTGGTGTCTGAAATAAATCTCCTGTTTAATAATGTTTACACTTTACTAAAATTATTTATTTAAAAGCACAGTGTGTTACAAAACTGAAGGAAACAAGGAGTTTCTCCCAGTGTACAACAATCTCCAAATAAAATAAATCCCCCAAATTAAAATTCCCAAACAATATTGGTGATTCACTTCCTGGCTGCTTGTGCTACATCTCCAGCAGGGGTCAGACAGAGCACACAGCAGCTTCTTCTCAATCTTTTAAAATTGAATTTCCTGTGGATGGCTATATGTAATCTCTTCCTGCGTTTTCCATGCAAAGTCTGTTTCGTTTTGCTCGACCTTTCTTAAAAATCTGCAATTTAGATATCTAATATGAATTATCAAGTATAATTGTAATGATGGGATCAAATATTTAACTTAATAACAATTAGAAAATAATCTGAATACTGACATAAACTTTAAAAAATAATAATCATTGCATTTGAATAAAGCCCTTTATCACATTGTAATATCTCAAAGTCTTTCACAGAGTTTTTTGTAAAGTGCAATGACTGTATATTTATAGGTGAATTTGGGCACTGCAATGTCCCACAAATAGCTATGAGCATTTTTTTAATCTGGGGAAATGTTAGCCAGGATACTGGGAGAAACACCCTTCTCTTTTCAAAGGGTCCCATGGAATTTTTAACATTCCCACATATGAGCAGGGACTTTAGTTTAATGTCTTTACGTGCTGTGCATAATGATGATAATTAACACAATACAACTTACATTTATAGAGAACCTTGCACGTCAGGAGGACTTCTCAAAGAGCTTGACAATGCTGGCTGGACATCCGAGCTGGTTGTGGAAGCTGAAAGGGATGGGGAGGGGAAAGATAACCGAAAGTTTGGTCAGAGACATCTATCATTTGTAGTGAGAAGCCAAACATTAGAAAACATATTACAATTACAGAATAAGTAAGACAAGTAGAAAAAATCAGAGGGAATGGGAAAAAAGGAAGAATGGGGGTGTGTGAATAGGGACAGTGCAAAGTTCAGCTATG